CATCTCCTGGTAGCCAAGTAGAAAAAAGGGGGGTGATGGATCCAGGGTCCCAATAGCTCCTTCAAGGGCATTTTTCCAATGGCCTAACTTTGTTCCACTAGATGCCACCAGCTAAAGTTTACCTGACCTCTTAATGGTGCAATGGGCTGGGGTTAAGCCATTGGCCCATAAGCCTTTGTGGGATGTTCAAGATCCAAACTATAACACCTTGTACTTTATTCACATCATCTGAATTGCTGAAAGAGAGACAGAAAGTGCTAATTCCTCTCCTCACGTCTTATAGGGCATTTCTACTTGACAGGGGTTCAGTACAATTCATACGCAAAGTATCAGCGTTGCATGATTATACTCATATAAACAGAGGTTTTGCAGATCTGGTGGAATTTGATATTTCTTGGGGATATTTTTTCTTAATAACACCGTTCCAATTTTATAATAAGAATTACTTGGGTAATTGGGGTTAATAGACAGAAATTTGCTTTTCAGGCTTTTTTTCTCCCCACAGAGCCTTTGAACTCATCTCATGGAGAGTAATGACTTTGGGGCCGCAGCCATCATCATTAGAATTTGAATAAAGAGAAAATTCCCTTTTTCCCCAATAAATAGCCACTCAAATGGACATGCATACAGTGGAGAAAATGTGGGGTTCAGTGGCAGGATTGCAGAGTCTGCATTTAAAAAAAGTGAGTTGAAGTAGAATTCTTGTGATGGGGACCTACAGGCAAATGGCCCTACGTACTTTGTTCATGAAGTAGGAATGATACAGTCTAATGTACAGATACTTTATTAAGTAATATAAATGATAGTTATTTCTAAAGTGCTGTATAAAAGTAAGGCATTATTAGGCAGCTAAGCAAAGTTAAAAGCTTTAATAAAACCTATCCTTGACTGACTGGATGAAGGCAGTTTTTTACCAATGTGCAAATAAGACATGTTCGCCTTTAAAAGTTAGGTTTTTGAGACTAAATGGCTTAGGAAGCAATAAAGATGATCTAATATGTCAAGGGAGACATTTTAAAAAAAGGAATAAGTATATTATAGAGAGAAGTAGGAGATGATCTACTTCTTTTTAAGAGCCATATCTATTCATAGCATATTTGGAAAAAAGTATTGAATTTGGGAATATGAAACCTAGAGAAGCACTATAAAGAATCATGGTGTCATTCCATATAAATTGTTTAGTGGGGCAAACTATTATTAGTAATGGGACAGTAAGTCACATCAGCCTTGATGAAGGGTATGTGTCTGTTTTGTCTAGTGCTGTGCCTTGTCACATTGATCTGTGCCTCAAGAGTAGGTGTGCACATGATTGCTGCAGAATGAGCATCCAAGTCTAGCACTTAATATCAGAACCATGTGAACAAGGCTCACTGATTCCAACTTATGAAAGAAGATGAGAGCCAACTGCAGCAGCAGGCTAAGTCTTTTAGCTTCTTCTTTTTTTTTTTTTTTTTTGGTTTTTTTTCGAGACAGGGTTTCTCTGTGTAGCTTTGCGCCTCTCCTGGAACTCACTTGGTAGCCCAGACTGGCCTCGAACTCACAGAGATCCGCCTGGCTCTGCCTCCCGAGTGCTGGAATTAAAGGCGTGCGCCACCACTGCCCTGCGTCTTTTAGCTTCTTAACCTATTGCAAATTTTGAAAACCCCAAGAACAGAAGGCTCTTCCCAAATGTCCAAAGTGGCTAATCAACAAAACTTAGTATGAAAGAGAACACAGTCTTCATTAAGGAAGTTCATCTCTTAGGTTTAAGATAGAACATTGGCCAACATTACTCTATTGGTGATGGCTTCTTAGGGTATTCCTATGTGGGAGTCCAAGGTCTTAGGAAATCAATGAATGTGGCAATTGATTAGCAATGCCTACCATGGGGTGGGAGTCAGGGATAGTAGACAAATATCTGTTAAAATGGTTTTTAACCTGAAACAAAGGTTGAACTTGTAAATGATTTCTGACTTTCTCTTTTGATGATACCTACATTATTATTGTGGGATGTGGTTTACTATAGTGATTGAAATTGTGGGGGGGGGGCGGCTTTGGGAAGGACAGTATGAGACTGACAGGAATTGAAGATAGAGATGGCAAAGATTCTTAGTGCCCAGCAGCTACACATGTGCTAGTGTATGTATCCTAGCCTCTTCCTACATAGTTTGGGGCCGTGTGGCTGAGTTCTGCCTGCCAGGGATATTTTGGAGGCAGTGTGCTCCCAGGACATCAGTAGAAGCGGGAGGAAGGCCCCAGCTGCTCTCAAGTCTCAAGAGGAGAAATAAATACTATGGAGACTGTAGATTTTTTTTTTTGGTTGTGACAAACAGGGTTGTTTCCCCCAATCCTAAAATCATAACGGAGAGTGGTTTATTATGACGAGTAGAAAGGGCGCATCTTACTTAAATGTCTGCCTAGGCTCATGAATTGTTTCTTGAAGACGTTACCTTATGCTTCCGGCCTATCTTACCATGTTGGGTTAGGGAATTATGCCAGCACCCTTCAGTCTCTGTTGGCTCTGTCTATCCTTAGGGGTGCCACAGTTCTGAGGGTGGTACAGAGTTGTGGGGCAAGGTGAGGATGCTTGAGCAGGAAGAAACTTGGCTCTAGAGCACAGTATGTACTAATGTGCAATATTCCTAGCCTTCAAAAAGTTTATTTTTAACAGCCTCCTTTCCTCCTGCAGGCTTCTGTTTTTGAGTACATTACCTTCAAAAAATAACAAACACAAGGAAAACCAAACAACAATAGTGAGTTTCCACAGCATCCATACCTTCTGATGCCGTTTGAGTTTGCAAAGCCCAGTCCCCTTCAGGGTCCTCAGCTGAGACCAATTCTAATGCTCAGGCACCCTTTCCTTTTTTTTCTTTTCCCTGTTAGTCTGTTTGATTTCTTATCTCTTGTGGTGGTTTGAATGAGAGGTGTCTACAATAGGGTCACATGTTTGAACCCTTGGTCCCCAGTTGGGTGGCCCCGTTTGGGGAGGTTGCAGAGCCTTTAGAGGTGGAGCCTGACTGGAGGAAGTACGGCATGGGGGGGCGGGGCTTGAGGGTTTGTAGCCTTGCTCCGCTTCTGGTTTTCTTTCCACTTCCTGTTTCCAGCTGAAGATGTGAGGTCTTGGCTTCTTGCTCTGGCCACATGCTGTCACACCTCCCCCTACCACTATGGCCTCTCTCTCCCTGGAACTGTAAGCCAAAAGAAACTCTTTCTTCCCTAAGTTGCCTTTGGTCATGGTGTTTTATCACAAAAACAGAAAGGTAATACCCCTCTATTCCCGAGAGGAGGGAAGATATTCCGGTCTGGCTTACCGTTGAACTTTCCACAACAGACTGTGTGTTCTTAACCGAATATACAAGGAACCAACAAATGAATAAGTGAAAAATCTCCTTGGCACAGCTATGAATTCTACTAGTCAAAAATAATTATCAAACAGCCTCCGCAGAAATAGGAGGCAGCTTAAAAAAGAGTAAGATGCGAAGAAGCATTGCCGCTCCAAATGGCCTAAAAACATCTCATTTGCTCCACAGATCAGGATGTTGGATTTTATTCTCATTTTACTCCAAGCCGGCTTTTGCTTTTTCTTTCTTTTTTTAAGTGGTAGACCCACAGACCATCGTTTCTGAAAGAATGAAATAAAGGATGTAGGTTTGGAAGGGACACAAATATAGCACTGTCACTTTTTTTTTTTTTTTATCTGAAGCAATTACTGTGCGGACAAGCAACCTTCTCAATCCAGTGACACTATAAATAACAGCAGAATTCATGGTGTCCCGGCAGTGTGGTGCACAGGGCAGTGCTGCTGCTCTAGATGGTTCACCAGCTACTTACTACAGAACTCATTAGGTTTACTGAGCTATCCAGCAAGTTGAAATACTGGATTCAGAAAGTTAAAGTATGTCAAATATGCTGAAAAACAAAACAAAACAAAACAAACAGAAACCTCCATGATGACAAACAAGAGTTGAGAGAATTGGGGGGAAAAAAAAAGCAAGTTAGAAAAAAACAGTTTATTAAGTAATATCATATAAATAACGTTACAAAAATTGATTTGCAAAAGGCATATTTACTCTTCGTGAGAAATCACTTTTTAAAGTTGCATTCTTTTCAAATTTATAAGACTAAGAAAAGAAAACCAAATAAAAGGAGCCATGTCAAGGAGTGTGTTATCTGTCATTTGACTACAACATAAGGCCCAGCCACACTGAGCTAGAGGGTCACTGTTTCCACCTCATTCTTCTAACACAGAAAACTTTGCCACATAAGGTGTGAGATTACAAAGGTCTGTCCACCTGGATGAAGCCAGCCCGATTGTTTCCATCCACCCTCTCCTCTTGCTGAAGATACAGACAAAGGACTCCAGCCAGTCGGTCTTCAAGCGTGGCATAAACTTCAATTTATACTTGAATTATTTTTTAATTAAGTATAGTCGGTACCAGAAGCCTTTATTTTCTTGGTTCAGGAATCACAAGTCACAGGAGGAGAATGCCAAACTGCCTGAGCTTGGTATGACCGCAGACGCACACAGCGTTTATTACAAGGCCCATTCTGATGTGGCCTCCTTGCAAAGCAGTGAAAATAACCTCAAACGAAACAGCACAGTGGGTTTCCTGTGTTCTTCTGAGCAGATCTATTAGACATTCGCTGCTCAAGCATTCCCCGTGAGTGCTGAGTGATTCTACATATGGGTTGTTGTTTTTTAATAAACACTAAACTAATAGATCATAGAAAACTAAAAGGTTACAGAAGGTGCCTCAGATATATTTACATAAATAGCATAGCCTCACAAGAAAGACCAAGCTCTCATTACAGCGGGATGCTTTTTTCTACGACACTGAGTCCATGCCTCATTTGTCAAATAACCTCATTTGGAAGGAAATTTGAGTTTGTGGTTCGTGTTGTTTCTTTTCCCCCCAGTGGAATCAAGCAACTTGTAAAAGATCTTTTGAAATTAATCTAATAACCTGGTGTCTCCTCGGCTAAATGCCTCAGTCCCTTCTGAAATATGGCGGGTAATAGTGTTTGTTTTCCTTTAACGCTTTTGTCTGCCAGCTCTGTTAGGCTAACATTCCCCCCAAATTAAAAAAAACGAGAATTCATCGTAAGTAAGGTATTACAAAACAGGGAGATTAAAGATTGTCTCGGCAATGCTTAAATTAAATCGAGGATGCAGAGACCATAAACTACTGGCTTTGAAAATGAGCTATTTCTTTATTAACTTTAAACAAGTGTGTGAGCCAATGTATTGGCTTTCTAAGAGGGTATTGCTCTTTGCATTGAATATAGTCGGGGTCTGGCATTTTTAGTAGAGAATTATCCCTTTTGAAAATTGTTCCATGAAGACGTCAAAGGAAGATTTAAAACACTGCAACCATGACCGTCTCTGAACTCTGACGAGACCACCATATAATTCCATTCTCTAGAAAACACATGCTTGTCAAGAGCTTAGGCTGCAGCCCATCTTCCTGAAGACTCACACACCAAGTATTAATCTTTCTGCTCTCATCTGATAAAGAAGGTTGGTGTATTGTTAATTTAAATACAGTGAACTCCTTGTACCTTTAGCCCACTTCTACAATATGACAATTCAAAAATGATTTCATCTAGATAAAGTAAAAAGTAAAATAACACTAAATGAGTTGGTTTTTTTTTTTTTGAAATAGAGGATGTCCTTCAAAATGGCAGAGATTTTTAGTTTTTAGTGTATTCTTCCAAAGTAATTATGCTGCTTCAAACCTAGTAACCGGGGGGGGTGAGAGGATTTATTTGGTGGCTGTATTCCCGAGGACAAGGGATTTGTTTGATAAGGACAAGCACCTTATTCAAATATTTAGCTTTCACCCAGGAATCAGCTCTCCTCTTTCTAGTTGTATGTTTCTAATGTGCACAGGTCTACAGAATCTAAGAGTGCTCTGTTGGCATTTCATAAATCAGTTCTCCCCAAGAAAACACCTACTTCAGGATAAAGCATTCTATGTAGACCATCGTGCAGGCACACAGGGCACACAGATTACATAATAGAAACATTAGGAAGTGATTTTGACTTCTCAAAACTTGGATGCGTCTAAGTTCCAGAGTCAGTCTCTTGTATAACACTTTGGGAAGTGGAAACGAGAACTAAGCCACATATTTTTATCCTGAATTAAAATGAAATCACCAGCTTTGTTCCATCTGAAAATAGAGTGATTCTCTAGCCGAACCTCCAGAATGTAAAACCAGGGAAGTTGTATTTACAGTGCTCAGATTTCCTCTCTTAGGGTTTTAGGAGACTGTCCTCGCCTCATCCCCATTTGATTTATTTACTTATTTGAGGACAAATGTTTTCAGATTTCCGGAAGAAAGAGGATATAAAGTGGGGGAGTTTTAACCTCATGCACAATGGCTTAATACTCTTTAAAATCTCAGCTTGTTCTAGGAAGCATTGTAAGAGGTTTAAAGGAAGTTTCTGTTGAAGAGAGGTTAAAAAAAGTTAGACAGGCGTCAGTGCTCTCGAAACGATGTTTTATGCTAACCGATCTGCTTACGTTCAACAAAGCAAATTTTAAAGTTGGACCCCTCCCTCCCCCCTGCCAGCCTCATTGCCTGTGTCTAAGACCAAGACACAAACAATACAAAAATTGAGCTGAAAACTACTTTCCCCCTCCAGACAAAATTTCATGTTATCTTAGGACTTATCACTGAAAGAAATCTGTCCATGGGGATGCTCTTGACCTGGTATTTTAGTGGGAAGAAAAACTAGAGAGAGATGGTATTAGGCTTCTCATTCTTTGCATGATGATTCTTAGAGGAAAGTGTTTATCTGGAGTCAACACCTACAGGTTCGAATAATCCAGTTTCTTGTAGATTTGTATCACCAACAATCTTTGGGATAAGACATTAAACAGTTATTCCAATATTAAGTCATACTCTCCTATTCTTGGGACAATGTGTGGTTTGCAGGGTGGGATAAAAATGCTTTGGCCAATTACATCTCAAATAGCTTAACTTACTTTTAATATATACTTGCACTCAGAGGGAGAGGTCAACTTTATCCCAAAATGTTGGAAATTGCTGTTGTCGACTCTTAGAAATTTAACACCAAATTTCACACCAAAAGCTCAAAAGGGCAACTTTTGATGATACCTTTCTTTTTAAGAACTATGTTTCTTGGTTCAGTTTGTCACATGATGTAAGATACAAGATAGAGTAATTCTAATTTTACAATAGATTGTGCAAGGTGCTGTTCTTGTGCTGTATTACTAATTTTCCTTGGCTATCTTTTTCAGTACTTACCTGTGAATATAATATATACTGACCCATTTCAGTGAAGCCATCTTATAGTATTTGCATTCCTGTGTGTGTGTATGTGTGTGAGTGTGTATGTATGTATGTATGTGTGTGTGTGTGTCAGTGTGCATATGAAGAACTAGAAAAATAAAACCCTAAAAGGTAGAAATAGCCCAAGCATGAAATACTCGTTACTCTTCAGGGCATTTCATCGCAAACAGGAGAACGTTCAGAAAATACAAAGGGCAATATGATTGTAATTTTTTTAAACTGTAATCCAAATTCCACATTTCTCATTTTACAGGTGCCACCTTTACTTCCTGGGCAAAAACTATTTAAAATCCAACTAAACAACAGCATGTTTCTAAATAGAAAATATGTTGATAAAACATTACCCTTAAATGGAAATGATGCTAAGATTATCTCTATAAAATTAACATTAACTGAAAATAAATCCCTATGACTAATAAGAGAAGTCAGCACATTCTTAAGTATATATTATCTATGTATATACAGAGCCTTTTCAAAAAGTTTTCAAATGAGGATGTTTTCATTACAGTACTTTGGAAATTTCTGATGACTGCACGGTGTGAGATCCTAATGAGGAGAGTCATTAGAACGTCCATATGAAATAAATGATTTGAACCTGCCAGAAGGATTAGCTTGGTTCAGTTGGGTCCCCTAGATAATAACTGACTAAGAGAGCCTAATTGCATAATTAGAGCAAGAATAGATTGGATGGATTTCATATTTCTTTTCTGTTTTAGTTGAGACCATTACTTTATCATCAGTTCAGAGACAAAGATGGCAGCTTTGCCACAGCAGCCACCTTAGAAACAGTGGGGAAAGAAGACTACTTTTGGAACTTGACTGTCACTTTAACAAGAGTCTTAAGCATTTTTGCTGAAGGCAATCCCAGCTCTTCTTTTGTGAGCATTTCAGAAACATGGAATGCAGGTTTTCACCAGTTTCTCAGCCATTAATGTATGGGATGTCTCTGAAGGCAAAGGGCAGGGATTAGGTTCAAATGCGGCTGGTCTAACCCTCCCCTTTAACTCTAGGGTAGGATATTTAATCTAACCTTCCTACATCAAGTTAATTATATAAGAAGTATTTGAAGAATATGGATTATTGTACTTTACACCGCTACTGTTGTCAGGTAGAGTAGGATAATAGAGACAACGACTACAGACAGAGTTAACATTTGCCTCAGAAAATTCTCTCAAGAACTTTTACATGATTAGATGTTTTTCTCATTAGTTTACTGATAGTTGGAAGAATTAAGGGATCGGTGATACAGTGGGGGGCACAAAAACTTTGAAATTTACCAAATCTTTCCCTTGTTAACGTTTTTAAGCTATTTCTTTTTTTCCCTTTGGTGCGATGGTGACCTTTCATGTTTCTCATACGCAGCAGATCACGAGTGTCAAGGAATACAGCCTTGCTTTTTGTTACTGTCTGAATGTTACCATTTGATTTGCTTCTAAATAATTATAAAACACAGAGGGATTTGATGTTATGAGTAGTTGTTGGTGCCAGAAATGCCTCTTCCAGCACAGACAGGATGCCCCAGTTGCCACCTTAAATTCTTTGACACACATACACTCTTACAAACCTTTCCGTAGCTAATTATCTCCTTGAGAGTTGATAGACCAAGAACAATTCCCCAATTGTTGCCTCCTTTTGTGTTTTTCTTTTATGCTAAAGCTATATATATATTTTTTTTAATCAGTAAAGTATGATCCCTTCTCCCAGTAGCATGGGAAACGTACAGTTGGAGCATTCAGCTGACTTGAGGCCATGAACAAAAGTAGTGTCCAGGCCAGCAGTAAGGAGCGTGTGGCCAACCTGCCCTAAGAGAACAAGGGAAAAAACGCTGTTCCCTCCTCTCCTCCCCCGCGTGCCTGCTGGGCTAACTTGGTTAACTGTATGAACTAAAAAATAAAAATTTGCCTCTTGGAAGCTCATAAAAGTATACTAGAAAAAAGTCTCTAACATTGGATCCGCACGGACTGCAGCCATTGACTTTTGGAACGGGTACAACAGAGAACCCTTCACGGAATAGTGGATAAATAGAAAGAAATAGCCACTTCACATATTCCAGTGTCATATTGGAAAAAAAAAAAGGCAACGGATTAGGAGTCTTTGTCACTGTCCATCCCTCCGTACATATCCGCTAGCTTTTTGAACCGAGGGCCCCAGTCACTCAAATAGTCATAATCTTGGTCTCCATCTGTGGTCACTGACTCCAGCGAGCTTAGCGAGTCAGCCACAGAGCCAGTGCCTTCGTAGGCATAGGTGGCCAAGGAGTCGTAGGGCGGGGCTGTGGGATCTGTGTCATTTTCCTTTAACCTTTGGTTAATGAAATCTCTGACATCCGTGTTGTCGCGAGCTGTTGGAGTCCGTCGCGGGAGAAAAAGAGCTTCAGGCACAATGTCCCTGCGCGATTTGCTGTCCTCCATGGCTTCGGGGTTTCTCAGGGTTCCGATATCAAAGGCCTGGGTGTCCTCCTCTCCGCCACCTTCGTCGTTGTAGCTGACAATGTTATCTCTGATGTCCTCTTTGGAAATGATCAAAGGCTCTTTCTTTCGCTGTCGCCTCAGAGCTGCGAACAGCACCACTGTCACTGGAAGCAGAACGGAAAACAGAAGGAAAGGAAAGTTAATTTGCCATCCAATTAACATGGGGAAGCAGCACTGCTCCAACCTGCCGCTTTAAAACTACACTTGAAAACGCAAGCTCAATTGTTTTCCGGGCGTTAAGGATGCATTTGTCTCTATCCATTATCAGATAAGGACCCCAGGATGGAGTATTTTAAAGAAGGTTAGACTTTAACCAGATGATAAAATGCCATCATATTTTGTCAGCACTTCCTTATTTTTTTCCCCCTTTGAAAAGGCAAGCTACTTTCAAGGTAGGAAAAGTAATAATAATAATAATAATAATAAAAAAAAATTTTTTTTGAGCCACAGAGAAAGTACTGCGATAAAAGTGCAAATTATGCCAAGCACCTAAAATGCTCCAAAACTGGTTATAAAGAAAGGGCTGGCACCTTTGGGAAGTGTTGAAGGCTTTGCATAACTCCACATTTAAAATAACTATTGCGCTATGCCTTCCTCTTCCCCCTACCCGAGAAGAGTGTAAAATTAGTTTAACATACCAAGCAGAGCTGTGAATGTTTGCATACCTTCCCACATACAAAGAAATAGTAGTACAGATAAAACCCCTGAGAGACCCAGATTCCAAAAGCTACTCTGGGCCCCAAGCTCAACCAATTAAACAGGACCGACAGCAATACACTTCCCATATGATTTGTGTTTGAGTTAAATAAACATTTTTATACGAGATTTCACTTTTAAAGACTTATGTCCCACAAGTTTGTTGGCCAGAACGTCTGTTTTACAGATATATTATTATTTTTTCCTTCTAGCTTAAATTAGAGGCAAAGCAAGAATTGTGTTTAAATGGCTTCTGATCTTTCTTCACAGCTGGCTGGTAGAACAAAGCTGGTTGCCTGTAGAGAGACACATCTACCTACAAATGGACCTATGGGTGGAAAAAATAAAAACATAGCAACAGCTTACAGAGGAAACAGCCATCCAGCACAGAAAACACATTACCAGCCCATGTTTGTCCAGCGGTATTTACTATAGGAAGCACCAGCAATGTCTACCATTTCACCCATTACACGGTCCAGTTTTTGTAAGCCATGAAAATTGAATTCTTGCAATAAGATTGAGGAGGCAAGTGCATCTTCCTCCTAATGAATAGATTTGCACGCTCATGGATCTATATGTTATCCTTTCAGACATTAATAGTATTAATACTTGGCTTTCTAGAGAGAGATTTCTATGTACCAATTACTGTGCTAAGTGCGTTTCATACTCAATCCCACTTAATCATCACAATAATCCTATGAAGTAGGAACCATAGTGAAAACCCCAGTTTACCAAAGAAGTTGAAGCCTAGAGATGCCACATGCGGCAGACATTCAAATCCAGGTCCATCAGACTCAAAAGGTTGCCCTCTTACCTGCCATGCTGGGAGCACACTGGGATGACTGTCTCTTTCCTAAGGAAATACAATTTTGCCATTCTCAAGTATGTGGCTGTATAACTGTCCACCCTCTCTGTTCTCAATGTCTCCAACTGTCTCATCCACCCAGCGTATCCATTCATTCTTTCAATCATTAATCATATGGTGCCTGCTTTGTGCCAGGTACAGTTCTAGGCACCACCAGTATAACATGGGGCTGGAAAGCCCTGCCTCAGAGCATAAGCAGATGTATGGGGACTGTTGGATGGAGACAGAACATAAACAACACGTTGAATGAGTCAGGAAATTAGTAGAGGATGTTAAGGGCAATGCAAAACAAGAAAAAGCAGAGGAGGCCAAGAAGGATGGGCAGGGTTTCCTCTGTTGGTTCCATGGGCTGTGCACTTCTGCATCATTTCAGGAAAGATTGGGAGTTATCCAAGGTGCTCTCTGGCAAAGGGGAAGGAGCTACAGGAAAGGCCCCCAGGGAGGTCTGTGCCTGTAGTATTTGAGGAAAAGACAAGAGTCTTAGTAGCTGGGCCAGAAGGAACCAAGAAGAGGAGTAGGGAAGAGCTGTGTCCCCAGGCACCTTGGTGGCTTTGGGATGCTTTCATCTCCACCTTGAGGGGTTGGGGTTGGGGACCTTTAGGGTTTAGGGCTAATCTTTTATGCTGCTTTCCAGTGTGAAGTGGCATGGATTTGCAAAACAGGGATGTAAGGAAGGGTAACATTAGGGATTAGAGGGTAAACCCCGGCCATCTGCCTTTAAAGAATTCAACTTTAATGCAAACGAATTCTTTCGGTCATTAAAGGTGAGACAGCAAACAGTTGTCACCCCCTAATTCTCCAGATTCAAGTGCTCAGATTTTTTAATTTCAGTCCTGCTGTCACTGGTCACCTGGAATTGGAGCCTCTTACAAGTGAGAAGCAAGAGGGTATAATCAAAAGTCCTAGGTACTCAGAGCTCATTCACGGTTTATTTCCCCGCCAATCACTACCTATGTCTTTTATCAGCCCAATGTACATTTGATGTCTTGATGGGAGATCTTGATGAAAACTGACTTTTATAAATGGGGACTGGGCTGGGGCAGAAGCATGTAGAAGGGTTAAGTTTATCTGTGAAGTGGCTTTGTGGGGACTAGTCTCTTCTTTCCCCATTCTCCTGTGGCCAGAGGACAGCAGCAAGATTTTAGTGGGGGAATAGGGAGGAGAGGATGTGGTCAAATTCATGGTCCAATCCCATTATAGAACTAGCAGATCTAACAATTTGACCCCTCAAAGCCCATTTTTCTCTCTGTAAAAGGGAAGCAATAACACAATGCCAGGTGCTGTCATGAGGAAGAAGTTAAATGTGAAAAAATTTCAAAACTCTAAATTTCTATATGGATTAGATGTAGTTGTTGTTGGGATGCTTAAAACATTTAATTTTTTTTTTTTTTTTTTTTTTTTTTTTTTTGGTTTTTCGAGACAGGGTTTCTCTGTGTAGCTTTGCGCCTTTCCTGGAACTCACTTGGTAGCCCAGGCTGGCCTCGAACTCACAGAGATCCGCCTGGCTCTGCCTCCCGAGTGCTGGGATTAAAGGCGTGCGCCACCACCGCCCGGCAAAACATTTAATTTAATATTTACACATGTATATAATATGTTAGATCAGATCTACCCCAAACTCCTCCCTTCCTGTTCCTTCCCTATACACCCTCAAACTTTTCTTTGAATGCTTTTAGTGTTTTCTTTTAGTAAAATACTACATGCCTTGGGATTCATCCAGAGACTTCTGTATAGTGGGCAAGTGCCCTATCCCCAAGCTACACCCCTAGGCTGGCCTCACTTTTATACCAGATTTCCTCAGGTATCAGTATGGCTTCCTTTCTCTGGCAACCTCTCAGGTTTGCCTCTAATCTCTCCAGGGATCCCAGGTTAAGTTTGATGTCTCTTTCAGCCTGGACTTTGCATTGCATTCCAGAAGCTCACAGAGAAACTCGGGATTGGTATGGGAGCACCGCACCAGTCTGGAATGAAAGACCTGGGCATAGAACTGAGCTCTACCGCCGGTTACGTGTGTGACTTGGCCACATGTCTTACTTCGTCTCCTGCTGCCTCAGCTTTCATATTGAAGATGCAGATCAATACACCCCAGGTAGTTCCAAGGAGCAAGAAAAGCATTTGTGAAGCACCTTGCCCAGCATCTAGTCTATGAAGTGAACCCAGTTAAGCCAATACTCATTTTTTCTTAAAAAAAGTTATGTACAGAATTCCCAAAACACTAGACAAGGTGTGGGAAGCACTGAAGCCAATTAAGAATAATGAAGAGACAGTGAATTTATTGCTGGAAAAAAAATGAAAGGGGAAGATAAAGTAAGTTAGTTAGAAGGAAGAAAGCAGAGAAGAGAACATGGATTGATGCCCGAAGGTCTCTAAGTCACATGCTACAGAGGTACTTGCATATCCATGATTATTGCTGCTCTATACACAATTTCCAGGAAATGCAGCCAGCCTAGATGTCCAAATAGATGAGTAAAGAAAACGTGATACATATACACAATGGGGTTTTATGCAGCCGCAAACCAAAATGAAATCATGACATTTGCGGGAAAATTGATGGCACTGGAAATCATTATGTTATGTGAAATAAGTCAAACTCAGAATGACTCCTCTACTTTCTTCTATAGAGAGAACCTAGATTAACATTATATGTGTGCACATATCCATGTGTATGTATTGTGTGTGTGTGTGTGTGTGTGTGTGTGTGTGTGTGTGTGTGTATGTGTGTGTTTAGCTGCATGTAGGAATGTCGGTTACAGAAGTAGAAAGGGTCTAATGAGAAGAGAGGAGGTGGGTGATTGAATATATGGAAGAAAAAGGATGGAACCAGCTGGGGAAAGGGTGTGGTAGCAGGGAAGGGAGAGAATTAGAACCAAGTACGAAGACACAAGTGTATGAAGAGATCATGATGAAACACATTGCTTTGTATAACTTTAAAAAACAATTAAAAATGTAAAAAAGCAGGACAGCTGACTAGAGAGAGGAAGGAGAAGGGTTACCAGATGATAACTGCCTCTCCTTCCACGGGCATAGCTCCCCCCACCCCCAGTTCATCTGGACAACTCCATTTTGATCAAGAACAATGACCAAGTCCTCCAGGTGTTACAGCTGCACAGCATTATGGGTGCCGATATGTCTTCGTACACTGTCATGGTGATATACTTTCTGATCTCAAAGTACTTTGCTCAAATCTTGCTTGAGAAGAGGATCATGGCTTTGCAGTTGAGTTCCCCATCTTCTCTTGTAAATGACAGCATTGCTCAGTAATGAGAAAGGTCTTTCTTGTAGAAATGCAGGCCCTTTTCTATGCTTCTCTGTTGTTATTCAGGCTTCATTATTAGAAGAGGTTTTCCTCCTGTGCAGTCTAGGTTAATGCTTTCTTGCTTGCTTTTTAGAGAGGGTCTCATGTGTCTCAGGCTGGCATGAACTTACCAGTTAGCCTAAGATGATCTTGAACTTCTGATCTTTATTTTTCCACCTTTCGAGTTCTGTGCTTACAAGCATATGCCAAACTTTGAGTCTTTTTAGTTGTGTAGGCAGGATTGGAAATACAAATATCTTTATTTTTAGGAGTTTTATTGTGTTTGATGTCCATGGGTATTTTGTCTCCATGGATGTCTGTGTACCCACATGTATGCCTGGTGCCCTTGGAAGCCAGAAGAGGGTGTCAGATCCCTTGGAACTGGAGTCAAAGATGGTTGTGAGATCTGGCATGTGGGTACTGGGAATATAACTTGGGTCCTCTGGAAGAACAGCCCCTCTCCAGCCTCTTGTTTTCATTTGTGGAAGGGCTACATTAGCTGATATTTGATTTTTTTTTTTTTACTTGAGTAATAGTTAAAGGCTTGTTAAGCTTTCAAACTCAGGTTTTCGGCTTAATTAGTTGGTTGGCAGGAAAAAAAAAAAACACCGTTTGTATCATTGCTAGACCTTGTGCTGGTTTCTGTTTCTTTGAGAAAACTCCTGGGAGAAACAACTTAATTGGGGAAAGATATATCTTGGCTCATGGGTTCAGAGGATTCAGTCCATGGTCACTGGGAGCTACTGCTTTGGGACTGTGATGAGGCAAAGTGTCACGATGGCAGGAACATGTGGTAGAACAAGGCAGCTCAACTCATGGTAGCCAAAAGACAGAATGAGAGGAAGGGTCCAGGGACAAGATATATCCTTCAAAGGTGACATAATTCCTTCCACTGGGGCCCAGACCTAGCAGCCCATTCAACAATGAACCCATCAGTGCTTTGGTCATTTGATGAAGTTAGCCATTCTTGATCCAATTCCCTTTCAGATTCAGCACCAACTGCGGACAACACCTCCAACACATGCGCAGTTGGGGGGAAGACGCCATATCCAAGCCATCACAGGTCTTGTGTTTCACCTTTATTACATTCATTTCTTTGGGATCCAGATTCACTTCCTAATGTTAGGAGTTATTTATGAACAGTCCGAAAATTATAGACATTATATATGTGGTAACCAGAAAGCAGCATTAAGCAGGTAGTTATTCCATTGTGTAGCTCAAAGTAAGTTTGTTTCATTAAAGAGATTGCCACACTTTTATCTTTTTTTCCCCTGGGTGAGAGAGAGAAAGTCACTATCATCGTTTTCCAGTTTTCTGTTGATCTCAAATGTTGCCTTTATCAGACACTCCATGCTGCATGACTTGTACTCTTCAAAATATACCAGTGTTTGCCAAGTTAATTATCAGACCACACACAGAAGAAACAGGGCATATATATATATAGTGGTTTCTAATCCCCCCTGAGATGCATTTCAGTATGATAGACATATATTCTTTTGGTAAAATGGTATCCTGGGCAAGCAAAGACATGGGCACATATTACATCTGTTCATTCTCCAAAGCAAAAATGAGTTCATGTTTGAACAACACAGATTCTCAGCATATAACTCTACTCACCTAGATCAGGCTGTATGCCTTAATGGGGGAGGCGGAAAAATCTAGAGTGTCACAGTAACAGTGTGTGCCCCTCACCAAGGGGAGATAGGATGCAGGGAGAAGCAGTTTACCTAGTAGGATCACGATGCACAGAAGGATGGCCACCAGAGCCCCTGTGCTCAGCCCCGTGGGGTGGATGAGGGCCTCGGCGTGGCAGGACTGCATGTTCCCATGGTGGTCACATGCACAGACTCGGACAGTCACTGTCCCAGTGCTGCTTTGGACTGGGTAGTCGTTGTCTGAAATGACCACAGGCAGGAGATAGGTGCTCATCTCGTGTCTGTTATAGCCATTTTTCCGAGTTAGGATTCCTGCGGTGTTGTCTGGAAGCAGAAAGCGAAGTGGTGAATGTATTTGGGTACTATGTCACGCACTGGATAGGTTGCAACAGAAATCAATAGGTACGGATGCAGGTCTCATCCCATAGGGGTGTGGAGAAAGGGGAGGCAGGAAGCTCACTTACCTTTGTTGTCTTGTACAGTAAAGTTTGAGCCACTGGCTGCTTCCGGGGCCAAAGAGAATGAGAACTGGTGTCCACTATAAGGGTCATCCTTGTCAACAGCACGTAGGGTCTGAATCAGCTGAAATAGAAACCAGAAGGTTGCCAAAAAGGTTTTAAGGCCCAAAAGTGTTTCTGACGGTTTTTCAAGAAATTACTAATTTTATAGTCCATAACTTAATTAAAATGATAGCTCTTAAAAATCCATCAGTGCGTTCTATTCAAAGAACTGATGTTTTAGAAACCCATGGGGCCAGGGCTACTTCTTTGCTGTGGGTTCTACTCTGAAAACGATGTGGTATTCACCCTGACCTCACTCCACTGTATACCAGAAGCCCCCTCCTAAGTTGTGACAACCTGAATAGTCTCCAGACATTTGCCAGATATCCCTAGGAAGCAAAAAATCCCCCTGCTTGAGAAGTTCTGCTGATGAGTAATCCAAAACTATAAATGGTCTCAATGATTGTCTCATTGACAGCATTGCCACTTAACAAAATGGAAGCACTCTGGACAGCCTGTGTGAAAACACTGTCTTCTCATGCTCATAGCTTAGCAACTTGGGGGAGAAAAAAAAACTAAAACAGAAAATTAAAGTAAAAAATGCAGTAACTTCAGCTTCCCACTTTTCCCTGTACTTTCATAGGGCACTTCTGTTTTGACAAAGTGTAGCCTAATTTCTCCGTCACAGACTGCAAAGACCTATTTCAGGTGGGTGACAAATGGGTGAAGCAGGGAGACATTCATGAATTTGCATCACTTTACAGATGGGCAATGTAAATAAGTAAAACTGTGAATTATAGGCAATTGGATAATATGTTCTAGTTATTATTTTCAAGTACATATGCAAATTAAGCTATCTGTTCACCAATAAAGATTTTATTCCAGCAAGACTGTGACTAATCTATTTTAATGAAAACTTTAAACTGATTTGGAATCCACATCAGTCTTGGAGACTGATGAACTTCCAGTTCTTAAAAACTATTTGTTCTCTTATGCAAGTTAAACATTCGTCTTGGTTATTATTTATGGTATTAATCTCCTTGGCATCCACTTCATAGATAATTCAAGACAAGCCCTCCGCTGTGTGTATCATCTCAATTATTAGATCTAAATTAATCTGCCTTCCAATCTGAAGGTGCTTTTTAAAATACAACTTACCTGGTCTGCCTTTGCTTTCTCACAGACAAAGGTTTCATAGAACTCAGCAAATTCTGGGGCATTGTCATTGACGTCAAGAACTTTAATGTATAGAGGCACTCGGCTGCTTTGCTTTGGATTATCTGATGCATATCAGAAAGAAAGAAATAGGCATTATATGTTGATCATCATTTCCCCTTAGACAAGAGTCACGCACTCTTTCATTCTATTCTTCCCCGCTAATCCCCTGGATAGTTGGAGGAGAGGCTTCTGATACGAGGGTCAGGAGTTGATAACTCACGTTTTCTTTCTCTCATCCACTTAACCCAAATGTCTATTTGAATGTTCACTTAATATAACCTTACTGGACATCTGACACCTAATATGAGCTGGGACAGATAAGGAACTTAATAAAGATAGTGAATTTTAGGTATTTATTCTAATGTGGAAATAAGCACACTAAACATACGAACGTACAAAGCACCAGATGGCAAAATTAAGCAGAGAAAAGGGATCGAGAGAGATGGAGCTGTTCTGTTGAATGGGATAACCAGGCATGCCTTCTCAGAGGGGCCATTTGTTCAGATGTGACTGAAAAGGAGTACGCCATGTGAAAATTTCTGGGTTCCTAGGGAAATGAAAGAGCAAGCAGAAAGGCTTTGGAGTAAGAGCGAGATGACTTTATTTATATAAGCTCTCAGATTTTGAGCTGTTGAAGGTGGCTAACAAGTTCTGACAATAGTATCCGTACGATCTCTAGCATCTATTTTTTTTCTCGTACTGTCTTTCCAAAGTGAAAGTGGCTACACATAAATTGTGGTAAGTCTCAATCACCCATAGCTTCAAATATATTAGAGAAACATTAAATCCCACAACCAGAAAACCATAGGCATAAACCTAAAATAATACATAAAATGACCCCTTTAGTAAAAAGCTAAATTTCATGATGTTTTGAAAAATGGTCTTTTTTTGTTTGTTTGTTTTTTTTTTTTTTTTTTTTTTTGAGACAGGGTTTGTCTGTGTAGCTTTGTGCCCTTCCTGGAACTTGCTTTGTAGACCAGGCTGGCCTCAAACTCACAGAGATCTGTCTGGCTCTACCTCCCGAGTGCTGGGATTAAAGGCGTGTGCCACCACTGCCCGGCGAAAAATGGTCTTTTTCCAGTGGACAATCATTCTGTAATTTTAAAGCTTTAAGAGTTTACTGTTGCTAGCATCCACGCCAGTCCCTTGGCATAAATTCTGGAAACCAAATTCCTCTCTAGCGAGTGTCTAATGAGGTGTTCTGATCACTATCAACACTTGCTCACACTGGCTGTTTGCTATTCCATGCACTCTCCTTCAGCGACGTCACATCTCATGAGTTATGTTGACAAAAGGGAACTGTAATAAACCATTTGATATGGGATCTTTCACAGCAGACATCCAACTGAGATAAATAAACGTGTTTAGAACTTCAGAAATTAAAAACAAAAAGGGCTATACTTCAGAAGCCTATTTTGAACACTAAAATATTACTTTAAAGAGTATCCTCTTTTATGTTCTCCTTCTAATGCTCGTTGCTCATAGTTCACATTTATTTCCACTGAGTGAAACAATTTCATGGGTTTTTTTTGGCACAATTTTCCTTTGGATTTTATGAGGAGTGACATAAAACAATCTAAACATTTTATTGATTATTTGGTGCTTTATATTGCTCAATTTGATAGACTATAGGAAAGTAATGATTTGTAGCTCTTAATTTGATAAAGATTTTGAAATAAAAATTCTACAAAAGGTTAGAATGAATATCAAAGAGGTGTTGACCAAGGCCTGCATTTTTAAAGAAATTATTTTATTTATTCCCAGTGTATTTTAATCGCATTCTGTTCCCCAACTACTCCTAGATTCTCTTCCTTACCCACTCAACTTCATGCTCTTTCTTTCCCTTAAAAATGAGAGAACCGAGTGAAGAAAAGAAGGAACTAGGTTGTCAGCCATCCATTATATGTGACCTGCTTTGTCAGTTTTCAAAACTTACTGTTCTAGTAGGCAGTTAACTCTACTCATGTCCACAGACAGATTATTAGTCAACTCAGCAGGCTCACAATGGGTACATTTAGTCATATCAAAAAAAAAGTGTGTGTGTGTGTGTGTGTGTGTGTGTGTGTGTGTGTGTGTGTGTGTGTGTGTGTATGAATGAAACTAATAGCATCATTGTTATGGAGCAACCAACCACTTTCTGATTGAAGATGCGACTCCATTTACCTTTCTTAGGATACTCAATAGGCTGTTCTGGTTTAGCCACTTTGTTTTCTGTATTTTGATATGACTAAATGTACCCAATGCCTACATTTGAAGACAGATGACTCTACTTATTCCCTTGCTTCCTATTTGAAAGTCCATTTTTTCAGCTGTTTTTGTGATTTTTCTAACTTATAACCTTTGGGAAATCATATCTACTTTGTGCTTATTCTATTTCACTTGAAAGATATATTCTTTTTTTTTTTGAAAAGTGTGTGTGTGTGTGTGTGTGTGTGTGTGTGTGTGTGTGTGTGTGTGTGTGTGTATGTGTGTATAGGCCCCAAATTTATGTTGGGTGTCTTCCTCCATTGCAACCACCTTACTGATTGAGGCAGGTTCTCTTGCTGAATGCTTTCCTAGTCTAGATATCCAACTTGCCCTGGAGATCCCCTGTCTCTGCCTCCTGAATGCTGGGATTACAGCCAGCTGCCATATCCACCCAGCCTTTATGTGGACCTTGGGGATCCAAACTCCACTCCTCACACTTGCCTAGCAAGCTCTCTTCCTGCTGGGTTATCTCCCCATCCCAGAGAGATGGGTTCTTATTTTATTATTTCCAAATTGCAGAACTTTCACAGTTTCTTCTCCAGTTAAGATGAACCAACACACATTTAGAAGAAACACCGTTGCAGATCTCTCCCCAGGGCTCTTTCCCTCAACCTGTATAGAGCAGGGTTATCAATATGAGGTGAATAGCTTTGGCCGTGCTTGAACAAGCCCTCACCGGGACCTCATTCCATCAGTGGGGACAGCACTGGTAAGGTTGGACTTACTGATCTCTGTTGCTATCACTGTGATGTTGTGCCACAGCAGTGTTTCCCGGTCGAGAAGTTTCGATGTAAAAATTGAACCATTTCCAGAATCAATGTTGAATATCCTGTCCATATCTGTGTGTCTATCCACAGAATACCTGAAAACAGAGAAGACTTTAGAGAGACTTTCCTTGATTTTCCCTTTTCATAAAGCCGTTCCAAGAATAGCCCATCTGTTAATTCTCTCTACTTGTAGGGCTTTTAAGCATCATCTGTAACTGTACCGTTAAGGAAAATATTTTGAGAAATTACATATTTACAATTAGGTTGAGTAGTACACTCTCTAAGCAAGTTGTGCGATTTTGGAAATCACAGCTAATTTCTTTTATATATATATATATATGCAATTAGACCAAGTTTATTTAATATGTAATTTAGAGCAAGTTTATATAATAACTGTTCAATTTCTTTGACTTGTGTGTGTGTGTGTGTGTGCTCACACCTGTACGTGTGTATGTGCTCACACCTGTATATGTGTGCATGTGCATGCAGACATCAGAGGCTGATGTTGGGAGCTTTCTCACTGGCTCTCCCTCTCATTCACTGAGACACGGCCTCTCACTTGAGCCCAGAGACTGCTGATATGGCTGTTCTGGCTAGCCAGCTTGCTGCAGGGATTCCCAGGTTTGGCTTTCAGAGTTCTGGAATTCTAGTCAGGCTGCCATGTCCACCTGCCCTTTATGTAGGCCCTGGAGGTCTACTCCAGTCCTACTGTTCATGGATCATCTCATGCACCATTTCCCCAGCATATATCCTATTTTTTTTTAAAAAAAAGATTTATTTATTTATTTATTTTACACCCCATCACAGTTTCCCCTTCCTCCTCTCCTCCCAGCACTCCCCTCACCTCCTCTCTGCCTTCCTTCCTCCACTTTCTTGCCATTTCTATTTAGAAAAGGATAGGCCCCCATGGATATCAACAAAACATGGCATATCAAGTTGCAGTAAGACTAAGCACCTCCCCTTGTATATTAAGGCTTGGCAAGGCAACCCAGTATGAATAATAGGGTCCCAAAAGCCAGGAAGAGAGTCAGAGATGGCCCCTGCTTCCACTGTTAGGAGTCCTATAAGAAGACCATGCTACACAACTGTCACATATATGCAGAGGGCCTAGGTCAGTCCCATGTAGGCTCCCCAGTTGTTGGTCCAGTCTCTGTGAGCCCAGGTTAGTTGATTCTGTGGGTTTTCTTGTGATGTCCTTGACCCCTCTGGTTCCTACAATCCTCCTTCCCTCTCTCCTCAGCAGGATTCCCCAAGCTCAGCCTAATGTTTGACTGTGAATCTCTGCATTTCTTTCCATATATCCTATTTTTAAATTAAACTTTTTTCAGATCTTCAGAATGCTAATATATTGGTTATATAGGGAATTGGCTACTTTCCTATTATCCATTTTATTTTAAAAATCATTCTGTTTTCAGAAACAAAAGGTACCTAGTGTGGGTGAAGATGGTAAGGTAGGCAAGGGTTGTAGGAGATAGGATTAGGGTGGAATGCACTCTAAGCAGAGGATGGGTTGGCCACAGGAAAGAACTGGGGGTCTATTCTAAACGCCATGTAAATCTATCCATGTGGTCCATACAGGGCAGCATCATAATCTGAATTGTGTTGAATAAACATGACTAGTTGAATTGAGAATGGCTGGACACTACTGTCACAAGATGTTGGAACAAGAGTGAACACAAGGCTGGAGGAAGATTTGAGGCCCTGTTTTTGACACATAGAGGGCCTGAGGAACATCCTGTGGAAAGGTCCAGGCTAAAACTTGAGACAGAGAACCACAGACAACCTGGAGCAACTGTGGGGAAGGACATCAGGGGAGGCAGGGCTCAGTGTCACTTATGTGCCCCAGAGCAACAAGGACAGGAATGATGCTAGGACCAAGTGAGGACTAGAGATCCATTTATGGAGAGCTTCTGGAAATTCGAAGGGCATCCGGAATTCTATCTTAAAAACCGAAGATTAATAGCACCTTTAACCCTAACACTCACAGCAGACTAGGGAGTTGGAGAAATGATATCTTTCAAAATTAAATTTGTTACTAGCTTTCAACCTACTTTTAAGTTTATTTGATTTTGTAATTGATTTTTAGGATGGCCATGTAAAGAGAACAAGTATGTATGTGTGTTTACAAATGAAGGGGCAACAAGAGAAAAATTTGAGGAGAACTGATATGTTAAGGTTTGTTCTGAAAAATATAGCTCCCCATTTCTACGGCATTTTCAAAACTTATGTCATTGAAGGAGGTTTAAAAATATTGGCTTAAAATTCACTTAGTAGAAATACAATTTAAGTAAATCATCTAACTATCTGACATATTTAGAGTTATGAATGCTCTAAGAAAAGATATAAGTAGTTTGCAATAATGTACAATGCTCAAAATTCTATTTCAATGAATTGTTTTTATTTAAAATAGGTAAGTAACAAGATACAGCAAACAATATATTTTTATATTGATATTTGTCAGTTAGCAGTTGTCTAGATGAAATAGGCATTTGTTTATTGCTTGCTATTCAAACTTATTTCAGAAGAAATTAATCAAGTTCACAATGGCCATTATGCCATTGGGTCTTAATTTTAGTTTCAACGTATTTAACACAGCCTTTTCATCCTCAGAAGGGCTCAAACAAATTTAAAAAATTATCTATTGGTTTTGACATTTCTGCCATGATCCAACAGTTATGAAAAAAATTTAGGCAAGAATACTGAACTTAACTTTATCGCCTTTCTTCATTTTTGAAAACGAATGATAAATATTTATAACACATCACTACTTCTCAAGAGGGAAGTCACTATACTCATAGACTGTGAGAAGTTTAATAGTTATCCATGAGCCTGTTTTTCCCTCATGACAAACACTAAGCTGAGGACACTCTGCCTTGTGCTTTTGTAAGCTGCCACAGTTATACATGGCGGTCATCTTTTGCTCTGTCTCAGCCTTCCGGTACAGTTTTAAGTTTGACAAATAATCACATTTTTTTTCTATCAAGCCTTGAAATAAATGGTAAGCAGTGAGGAAGTTTTAGTTGAAGTCAGCTTTAAATTTTAAAGAGAGGAGATTAACTACTAAGGAAATACCAAAATTTATATTGTCTTCCCTAATTGGGAGATTAAAAATTAATGGAAACCCTACAATGCCTATATTGTTTAGGAGAGATGATTATAGACAAGGCTGTATTTTCTTTTTGTTGTTATTTTCTTTCCTCTAAAGTAATTTCAGTTTATATCAGGGATATTTATTGTCCAGAAATATTAACTGTGATCATTTCCAATAGGAAGCAAGGCAGTCAGCCTCAGTACGGCTGGAGTGGATCATTTGACCTCCTCTCCTGGGACTTCACTGTGTTTTGTGATTAAATGATTTGTCTTGTAATGTGTCCTCAAGTGAGAGAGATTTATTTGGTAGGGAAGAAGCTGTGTTTGCATGTATACTTAAAAAAAAAGACTTCGCTTATTTTTATTTATGTGGCTGAGTGTGTGTCTGTGTGTGGGCACATGGGCCTGGCTACCTAATGAGGTCTGACCTCATTAGTCGAGGGGGCATCACATCCCCAGGGACTGGAGTTGCAGGCAGTTATAAACCACCTGATGTGAGTATTGGGAACCAAACTTGAGTCCTCTGTAAGAGCAGCCAATGCTGAACCATCTCTCTAGCCCCCATACAGACATTGTACATGGCACATTTATATAGTGACATGTTTTCTCTTGTATATATCCAAAAACATTACGGTAAAGTTATAGTAGGAAATTGTTTTGTGATTGAACAGTTAAACATGGTAACTGCATCAAAAACTCAGCATTTTGGGAATTCGTTGTTCACCTAACAGTCTTACATAGTGGTTCAGTATTTACGTCTCGACTAACCCCAGACTATGTATAGACATATTTTCTTAATACAAGACTGATTTTATCCTATAAGGAAAATCACTGGAACATGCACTGATACACCAATGTAATCTATGTACGTTTCTAGACTTAAATCTCTATTTATATGTCAAATCCATCTGTGCTAAGGGAAGGCTGGCAGCAAAAGTCTTTAGAATGAACAGTCAACCCAGCCTGATGAGCTAAGTACTTCCATTCAGCACATGGAGAATAATACAGCGGGTAAAACTGGTATTTGGTTTAAATGCTAATATAAAAGTGTTTAGCCTAAATTTCCAGAAGACATTTTTTCTTCAAATTGAAAGCATGTTGATCCATCAGAGAGGTAACTGAATCTCAGATCTGTTAACTTCTAGCATTAGCACTTTTAAATTGGACCTCGCACCGACTCTCTAAGCCGGCCCCACGAGTGAGGGAACAGTTGTGAAAGGACCTCAAGTGCATGTGCTATGGAAGTGAAAGCTGTCATTCATTTCCCTCATTTGGCATGTGACATTTACATGGGGGAAGTACTGGGTCCATGGAGCTCACACGGGCTGCACTGGTGGACTGAACCCTCTTTAACGTGTTGTAGATCTTCCAGTAGAGAGATCAAACACAGCTCTGTGTGCCCTGAGAGTAGAGCAGACATCTGTGTGTCTTAGACATGAGGGTGTCATGAGATTTGACTACATCAAAGGGGATGGATGCTCAAGCACATTTACTTAGAGCGACATATTCTTTTATCTGCAATAACGTTCTCCACATAGCAGACAGAATGACCCCTTAAAAGTGCAGTTTGGGATTAGGCAGCTCTTCCATTCAAAGCTTGCAGATGGCTTCTCACCTCAATTAGATAAAATTCAGGCTTTACCATGAACTATAAAGCCGAGTAGGACCCACAAGATCCACCGTGGCAAACCGCCCTGCTGCCTCTTAATCGACCTCTTCTACCTCCTCCTTCCTCTCTCTCTTATTTCCTCCCTTTTTCCCTCCCCCTCTCTCTTTTACCTCTCCCCCCCCCATCTCTTCCTTTCTCCCAGTCATACCGACCTCTTAGCCACTCCTACAACAGAGGAAGTCAGCTCTAGCATTAGACCTCTTCTTCCTTTTCCCCTTTTGCGGGTCTTCCCCCAGGACTCTACACTGCTCACCCTTCACTTTTTTTTTTTTTTTCAAATCTTTACTGCAAAGATTTCCTACTAAGAAGGCTAAACCTGGTCACCCCATCTTAAAGTCTCCCCATTAATTTGATTTTTAGAATTTCTTCACCTGACCCACTGCATATTTATCCTTTGTTTATTTTTCTCTGTAAGCGCTCTATGTTGAGGATCTGGTATAGTTGTCTACTGCGTTCCCTTGTGCATACAGTGTGCATGGTGTGTGTGGCAGCTACCCTGACCAGAATATGTCTGTGGACTCACTGGCAAGAATCTCTACAGATTTTATTTTTTTTTCTGCTTAGTTTAATCTATGGAGAATGATTTACATCGTAGCAGCCTGATTTAGCACCTTTCTCATTTATTCTACGGAGCTACTGGCTGGTGGCTGGGAGTTGGTTGATTCCAGGATTTGCATATGATTCTAGAATCCCCAAGTTGTCAGTGGTCTCAAAGAGCAATGAGGTTTCTTGCCATCTGATTTATAACTAAGGAGCCAGCAAGCACCAGCAAGATGGAACTTGTTTACAGAGCATTAATTTGGACTCTACCCTATTAATTTCTCCAGCATTTCACAGACATATCACGAAACAGTTCTTGTTTTTATTTACATATGCAAGAGGGAAATTATTCATCTAAACGGAGCATAATTCTGCCTCTAAGTGCTACATGATAGGTTCTCCAGCATTTGAAAAGCATGTTGGCTGTTGAGCTCAGTGGCTGCTTTATTTCTGTGTTCCACTGTTTAGTAAATCATCGTCAACTTTACAAAGGGCCCAGGTCAATCAGCTGCACCACCTTATCTCACTTCACTCAAGCAGCGAACTCCTGCTGCACCTCTCATCTTCATTTTGTTTTCAACTTTCGTGTATTTGAGGTTGACGCTGATGCTAAAACAGTATTTATGCAGTGAGCAAGGACAGTTAAAGGTGCTATCTGGAACCGTTTTCCAGGAAAACACAGCTGTCTAATTGGAAAAAGGATTCCTATTTTTTTAAGCAGCAGGTGGATATTCAGACACTAAAATGGACTTAACTTAGGGACGAGATGGGGCTGACAAGCACTTACTTGACGGGATTCCGGGTGGCGTCAGGATCCTGAGCTGAGACAGAGCCTATGGTTGTGTTTATCTGCGCATCCTCTCGTATTTGCAGGATGTAGGCCAGTTTGCTGAAGACTGGAGGCTCATCCACATCGTCTACCACAATTCTCACTGTGGCTGAGTCTTTGAAGGGACCCAGGTAGAGAAATCGGGGCTCGACATGGGGATTGGAGGCTTCCACCTTGAGGGTATATACTTTCTTCTTTTCGAAATCCAAGAGCTTCAGAAGACAGCGATGCAGCACACAGAGAGGCAAGGCAGAAACAGTTTTAGTACAAATCTCTGATAAATGAATGTGATCGGGCTGCTTCTGGAGATAACCACACATTAGTGCAATGTTGGGCAGAGGCATCAAAGTGAAGTTGAGATCAGTATTTTTCCTGTACCATAGAGCGTTAGCAGGGAAGCTGTTACATAGGCTGTGAAGAGCCATGATGCAACCAGGATAGAAGTACAGCCTGAATGTCGGCTGCACAGAAAAGTGGGTACTAAGGTGCTAGGCATATGGGGCAGGAAGGGAACTGGACACAGGGATCTGTTTCAGCCTCCCTCTCCTTTAAAATACCTTGGATTTGAATAGAGGGGGTTGCCAAAGGCAGAGTGGCAACATGTAGTAGACCATTTTGCCAAGGGTTCTCACATCTGGCTTTACCTGCTGGGTATTTAAAACTTGCCAATACCACTCTTGCCTACTAAACCAAACTTTCTCTGGTGGAGATGGCCATCTGTACTTGTAAACAGCTTCTGGTGAGTAGGAATGGAGCCAGAATTCTGACTCACAGGTTAGCACCATGACTCTCTCTTGCCCGTTCATACTAAATAAGTTGTTTTTGCAGGAGTTAGTAAAAGCTTTCCCCAATACCCTCAGAAGGGCATGGGGCTAATTATTTGCCAAAGAAGGCAATGATCCCCGTTGTCAAAGACCTTTAGGAAAAGATTTTGCTTTTGAAGGCATGGTGAACCCAAATGTGTACTGCTGACTTGTAGTTTTAGATGATATCATGGCAAGGCTCGCTGGAAACACTATTAATCAAGACGTTGGCGAATGCAATTTAGTCGGCTAGGCAAAATTTCAGTTTGAATCTGATAAGGCACTGAGAAAATTAAAAAGGTTAATGCACACTAATGGGCCTCCTAATCATATCAGGGTCTAAAACATTGGTCTGAGTGTCACTTAAGCATGTTTTATTGTGCTTCCAGATATTCAGCCATATTCTTAAAAGGAACATTTTTCTTGTTATTTACATCCACCATGCTTATGTTCACCAGCAAGCCACAGTGGGTGAAGGGAGGGAGAAGGTATATTATACTATACATGACAAAAGAGAAATCAATGAAAATTAACTGAAATCAATACTTTTAGCCCCGAAGCACACAATTTGTTGGTTTTTAACCATGGCCACACTTTGGTATAGTGCTTTGTGGTGCCAGCCAGTTTTGAGAGGTCAACTAGCACATAAGCATGCTGGTGAAGAGGAGATTTGATGCCCTCATGCTCCGGAAAGTCATGTGAAATTTCCTCAGTTGCTTAGATGTGGGTCTCTGCATATGCCTTCTCTCTAATTCAGGTTATCCTGCTCCCTGCTTGCACTAAATCTTTCCTTCAAAGCACATTTCACAGTTGGCACATACACATTCATTCAGTGGCTTCTTCCTTGTTGATTCACTGCTGGCCTATAGGTTCTAAGACAGCAGAGAGCATCTGTTGTAAGTGCCATGGCAATACCAGCACCCACAACGACGTGTGGCATTGTTTATTTTATTGCTTGTATCATTTCTATGCATTCCACTTATTTCTATTATTTACTTAGAGGATTTTTAGTAGAAATGTATGAAAGTACAGAAGTAATGAATATATAAAATTACTTTCGACTACTAAAAGTCAACCCAAGAGATCTCAGTGCGATTAGAATCGGTGTTCTTAAAGGGTGAGTAAAAGAAGAATTTGAAGAAATGTTCATAAGAGATTGTCATTGTCCTTGGAAGCCAGAGGGAAGCACTCTCATTGATGAGACACCAAGAGTTTTATCTTGTTTGATAGCTATGGAAGTGGTAGAGGCACCAATCAGTAGCCTGCTTTCCTCCTGCTAAACAGTATTTGGAGTTCTCCTTTTCTATGTGTGCATGCTTACTTGTGTGTGTGTGTGTGTGTGTGTGTGTGTGTGTGTGTGTGTGTGTGTTTGTGTGTATGTGTGTATGCATGTGCACTCTGCATTTTTGTAGGTGGAGGCCAGAGGTCAGAGGTCAACATCATGCCTTCTGTCGCTCTGAACCTTATTTCTGCCAGACTGCCTGGCCAGGGAGCTTCCAAGGTCTGCCTTTCTCCACCTTTCCTCCAGCACCTGCATTGCCACCGTGGGCCACCATGCCCAGACTTCATGTGGGTGCTGGGGACTTGTACGAGCACTTCATTCAGAGCCATCTCGTCAACCCCAGGAGTGGTAGCAAATGTCCATACCAACGCCATTACCTTTTTGACAGTTATAATCCCTTCCTGGGTTTCCTGGTCGGTGATGACGTCAAACATGTCTTGCCCCTCACCGTCTGTGATGCTGTACTCGATCTCTGCATTTTCTCCCATGTCAGCATCACTGGCTTTGATCCTGCCAATCGGTGTACCCGGTGGGGAGGACTCGGGGGTCTTAAACTGGTATGTACCTATTAATCACCAAACAGACAAGTGAGGCAGAGACTAGGAGATGCTCTACCCAAATAAGCAGTCCACTCTTACCCATTAGGGGTGTATTCTGAGATCCCCAGTGGAGTCCTAACTGCAACTAGTACTAAATCCTAAAAACAGGGTTTAGTTCAAGTTAAGTGCTCTATTTTTTTCTGTGTTTATTTTTAGTATATACTTATCTCTGATAAAGTTTAACACATAAACCGAGCATAATAATAATAATAATAATAATAATAATAATAATAATAATAATAATAGACTATCAGCAATAGCTTATTTCTTATTAAGAAAAGAGAGTAAGTATAATAATATATGACAATAAAGGTATTTTAAATAATATATTTGGGTTCTGGTTGGCAATAAGTGAAGGGGCAGAAAGCCCAACCATAGCTGAAGGGAGACAGTGTTAAGACCTCACTGTGGTGGAGACAGACTTATGCTTTCTTCAAAATAATTAATGATGCCCTAACTTCCTTATGTCTTCACTATCATGCTAATCAGACTTCTCCTTCTGTTTCCTGGTCTGTCTCCTTGCAAGTGGAGTGCTCTTTTCTTGTTCTGTAAACAAGCTCCCAAGTTCATGGTGTTGTTTGAGTCTAAGTAGGAGAGGAGGGTTTCAGGAGCCCCACGGAGGTAATATAGCAGAAAGAATAGAAAACCTAACCTGGACCAACTTGAAGCTAATTACTCTGTGTTCTTAACAGGGCTTCTTCCTGACCTTGCTCCTACTAGCTGAAGGTGGAAGCAAATTACAGCAATTTGGAAAAATAGCCAAGTAGCCATGATTTGACTAATAATCTGAGCTGGATCTAGATGCAGAGTTAGGGATATGGGAAACTACACTGAGCAATGAAGTTCTCTACCCTTTTCCTTTGACTAACTCATTCTTTCCTTCTCAATTTCATTACAGCATTTTCTTTATAAATATATTTAACATATATATATATATATATAAATTTTGTTTTTGAGACAGTCTCACTGTGTTGACCAGGCTGGCCTCGAACTTACAGAAATCTGCTTGCCTCTGCCTGATTAAAGGTGTGCACCACCACACCTGTCAGCATTCTTTTATTTTTACTTCTAATCTAAAATTATACTTTGTCGATGATACTTTTTAATATCCCTGTGTTGCAAAATTAGTTTAAAGACAACATGTGAGTTTCAGCTTAGATATGACAATCTTGTAGACCAGTATATACTTAGAGAGAGAGAGAGAGAGAGAGAGAGAGAGAGAGAGAGAGTGTGTGTGTGTGTGTGTGTGTGTGTGTGTGTGTGTGTGTGTGTGTGTGTGAAAACAAAAACTGTCTTGGCATTGATGGTAAAGTGGTGAGCATAGCTGCCTTCTGAAATTTATTCTATTCTTATCACTTATAATTTGCCATTTATTCATACATGATTTTGAAAAAAAAAACCCTCAAAAAACCCCAAACAAACAAACAAAACCCATCAGACTATGGCACCACTGAAGTTTAGGTCTTCAATGATGCAAATTCCCTGAATATTGGGTTCCTGGTTGATAAAATAACAAAATATGTTTTAACTACTTCTCTAGATTGTTCTGCATTCTCTTTTTACTTGCTTTGGCACATGGTCTCACAGCAGGTAACAGGCAATGTAAAGAAAGAGCAGGACATGTGACAAAGCCCCACAGGGCCAAGTGCAGAGGCCCTGGGGTTGTCCTCCCCAGGGCGAAGCTCTGGAGAGCATGCTGTTTTCATTTCAGACCTTTGTGCAGAAATTTCAGGGCTCACAAAACGTTTCTTCTGCCCATATCATAAATTATTAGCTATTCTGTTCTTGGCATCTAGTTGATTACATACTTGGAGGATCAAAAGATGATACTGTTTCCTGTTCATCATTTAGATCTCCATCTACAGGGAGCTCATATTAGCTGGTTATCTTTTTTCAAAGGCCACAGTAGAGTAAGTGAGCTTTCTTCTCCCTCCCTTCTTTCCTTCCTTCTCTCTTCCCTTCTCTCATTCCTTCCTTTTACTTCTTTTAAAAAGATTTTTTTAAAAATTATTTCATTTCTCTGTATGTGTGAATGTCTGTGTGTTTGTATGCTACGTGTGTGCAGGTGGTCATGGAGGCCAGAAGAGGGCATCGTATCTCCTGGAGCTGGACTTACAGGCCGTTGTGATGATCCACCTGGACCTGAATGCTCTGGAAGAGCATCTAGTACTCTAAACCAATTGCTGAGTCTTCTCTTTAGTTCCCTTTTTTTAAAACATGGGGTCTTCCTAGGCTGGCATGAACTCTTCATGGAGCCCCAGCTGGAAGCTACCACAGCTGTCCAAGTGTAGGATTATATGTGTGACTGAGTCACCATATCCAGCTGCATTTCCTACTTAAGGATTCAGGTAACTTTTCCAGGGGAGCATGGTCACAAAGACATCTATCCGTTTTTGAAGGGGAAATTGCATCACAACCAATTCCCACTGAGTTGGCTGGATGTGGAAGTCTAGCATGATGCTTGACAGAAAGGCCGTATTCATGGGTCTTGTTTTTTCTTTTCACCTGATAAGGACAGTTAATGTTATCTGAGATGATTTTCAGTATCTCAATTAACCATACTGTAGAAAACTCTTTATGACTCCAAATGGATTAAGCACAGAGCAACTTCTCCAGATGTATTTTTAGAACTCGGGAAATGATAAATCCTTCCTTGCAAAGCTCTGTGAGCATTTAACAGAGATTACGTGCCTGATTAAGTTCATAAAAACATAAAGTCAACTTTTTCCTAACAAATAGCAGCATACTTGTATACATATGCTTTTGCTCAAGCAAATTACATCTATGGCAGTCATTTTAATAAGGGAAGAGAAAGCAACGATGTTGCTTTTCCAACAGCCGCCGTATCAGGAACCACTCAGCTAATTACCAACGGCAGAGCATCAGCGTTCACACTTCCTGAGCATAAGTGGTGTTTTCATCTCATTTAAATAATTTTAATAAAAGTGCCAATTCTTCCTAAGTCCAGCGATTTTGACAGCAATGCCAACCATGGAAATATTCTTAAAGTCAGAATTTTACAAAAGCACATTGGAGAAATCTGTTCAATCAAATGTCCCTACTCTGGGGGAAACGGGGTGGATTGTCATTGACATCTGTCAGCGTGATGTTCACGGTGGTGGTCCCCGACAGTCCTCCCATCTGGCCGCCCATGTCCTTGGCTTGAATCACAACTTGGTACTGTTCTCTGTTTTCTCGATCCATGTTGAGCAATGCTGTCTTGATGATACCTATGGATATGAAATGGAAATTCAGGCATGGAAGGGGAGGCGTTAACCGTAGTTTATGGAATCATTTATTTATGCAGACAAATGGAGACTGTCACCCACAATATGCAAAACGCTATGCAGATGTCACTGTGATATAAAGATGATTATATGCAGCCTTTCTACCGAAGGAAATTACAATCACACAGGGGAAGAGAGACTCATTAAGAAGCCTGTAATACAAGGAGAGTAAAAACAAGTACAAGTGAAAGCCTGTGCAAAAGAGACCGTAAGTAGTACAATGTAAGTGTCACAGGATGACATTGTCAGGTAGAACTGGCATGTGGCATGAGAGGACATACCACACTTACTGCTAGATTAAAAGCACTGGGGTACTCTGAGAGTATGGTTCAGAAAGCCATATGCCTGAGCTGACACCAGAGTTTCACATTATCAGCTTGGCTAATTGCTCCTCAAGAGTACCTACCGTAATGAATGTTCTGTGGGTTTTATAAGTCACAAAACTATGTGCTAAGGAAAATGGCCTGAGGTCCCTCCCGATTATGATCTTGTTTGATCCCGGAGAATTTGGGTTTGCTTACAGAGAATGAGAACTCAATCCCAGCAATCCCTGCAGCAGCCAACATTTTGAAGACAGGTTAAAGTTGTCTCCACTGTTAGGCAGTTAGATAATGACTTGAAAGAATTTCTCAAAGTTTGCCTAATCTCTGTAGAGTGTTTATGCTTAAATTAACTTTCTTTTAAAAATCACTGGAGTAGGCTTTGTAACCCTCTCCGGTCTCACATTCTCATGCTTAACCACTAATGAAGCTGAAAATATCTTTTCTTCCTTTTTAACAAGAATGCCTCAGACAACAGGTCAATTTTATTCCCATAGTCTTGGCTTCAAGGAGCAGCGGCTTTCTCTTCTCCAAATAATGGTTCTTTTCTATTTAAACACAGGAAATCACCTTAGCCTTTTGTCCTTTAAGTAGGGTAATTCTAATTTTTCATTTCTCATTGTTTTTCAACTCAACGTTTTCTCTCTCCTTGGGATTCTTTCCAGGTTCATTCACCTTTTAACACATCGATTTCTAGCTGGATATAGTAACCCAGAAAAGCTCTGGCTTAAAATAAAGAATGTTTGAAAAATATATGAAAGGAACTTGATTCAAAATATGTATAGAATATACTGTACAATACAAATGCTTTGTGCAGAAAAATAAACCACCAGATAGCACGGTGCATTTGGTGGGGTGCTTTTGTATTCAGCATTATATGACATTCTTGTGCTCCATATTGTGGAGAGGCCTCAGCACCTACAAGCTATTTATAGCTCAGCCAGCACACACTGTCAACGGTTGGTTTGTTCTGAGTTAACCCCCTCTCAGCCCAGATGCCCCTGGAGAACAAGATTGACATCGGCTAACTTGACTAAGCATTTCAAGAGGTGCCTGAGCCCCAGACATCCACACAAAATGAGGGGAGACAGCAAGAGATGATAATGAGAGAAACATGGGCCTCATAGCCCTCAGAAACATGTCTGGCCACCTGACGAGAGGGCAGGGCTGAGCTCTAGAATGCCTGGCTTTCTTTGTTATGCTCCTTCCCTGATCTGGGATCTGCTGGTGGGAGATGAGATGGAAGACAGTTATTTTTTTTTTTTTTTAAGGATGTTAATCTACTGTCTTCTCAGATTGCCAGCTCTCTGAATAAAGCAGTTTTAAAGATTCAGTCCCCGTCTCTTCTCATTGGCATCTGTGACAGGCAGCAATGAGTCCAGCTTTCCACTTAGACTTTGCAGGGCAAATTCAAAAAAATAAGATGCTGTAAAAAATATTCCGTAAGGCAAGCTGATTTGTTGGACCAGGGATGTGTTGGGCAGTATAGGCTAGACTGTGACGTCAGAATGAGACAAAAATCTCTGTGGTGTGACAGGGCTCTGGTTCAATTCTTCCTCATGCTCTGGGCAGGCACTCAGGCATCTCTGCTCATGGTGACACTCTGGCATCCGGGCTGAGGCCCTATTTCAACAAGAGTTTCCATGATCACTGTGACCAGGGGAAGGGAATGTGACAGATTGTGTACAACTCTACTTGGAAGTGACTTATTTCACTGCCATATTTTATTTGTGCAAATATGTCCCATGGCTATACCTGGCTTCGGAGCAGAACAGAGAGACATGGCACCATTAAGGAACTAGAAAAAGAGAAAAGAGGACTCGGGATTTCTGTGAGCAGGGTTAGCCATTCTCAGGAAGGGCCATCCTTTTGACTTCATGCCAAAGTAGATGGAAAAAGAAAGGAACGACTCTATCCTATATGTGTGGTGTGAAAGACTCATTGTCATATTTCCTTATTAAACTGATCTGGATGTCACGCTTACAAATACATCATTAGAGTTTGGCAGAGGAACACAAGGAAAATCCAATCATGCTGATTGTTTTTATTAAACAATACGCTAGGTCAGCTGAGCATGCCAGTTAAAATTATAGAACGTCGACTAGGAGATGAAGGAAGTGTTCTAACCTGTTTCCGACTCCACTGAAAAGTAGGGCTGTCCCTGGAGGATGCTATAGACAACTTTAGCACTGTTCCCATAGGTTGGGTCGTCAGCATCAGTGGCAGTGACTTGGACCACAAACGTGCCTGTAATGACAGAAACAGAACTGAAAACAAAGGAGGGCTCATCATGTTACTTGATACCTGTGCACACTGAAGAAAGCATGATCTTAACTAATTTAATAATTAAATTACATTTTAGTGTATGTATCTATAATTGTGTGCATGTGTTGGCTCACACATGCCCCTGTGCATGAATAGAAATCCTTTCTTTCTTTCCATCTTGTGAATCCTGAAGATCAAATTTAGTTCATCAGTCTTGGAAGCAAATATCTTTGCACCGAGCCATCTTGTTATCCTGGTTAGTCTTCTGTCAACCTGACAAAACTAGAATTCCCTGGAAGCTGGAACCTCTATTTAATTGCCTCCATTGGATTGACTTGTAGGCATGTTTCTGGGGCATATTCTTGACGGATGGTTGATATGTAAGGGCACAGCCCGCTGTGGGCTGTGCTACTCCTGGGCAAGAGGTTCTGGATTTGTATGAGAAAGCAAGGCGAGCTAGCCATGCAAGGCAAGGCAAGCTAGTGAGCATCACTCCTTTAGGATCTCTGCTTCAATTCCTGCCTCCAGGTTCCCAACTTGATTTCCTTTGATGATAGAGTGGAACCTGAAAGTCACAGTCTTTTATCACAGCAATATAAAGTCAACTAGAATACCAGCTTCCATGACAAAGGAGTGGAGAATCACAGTACAATATGTGTTGTTAGGAAGCCATTGATCCCTCACTTGAAAGGGATCAGATTCACATCAATGGATGCTGTATGGAGTACGTTAAAGAGAAGGGCAGCCTTGAGTAAAGGTGAGTCCTACCCATCTCCTGTGATGGGATATGACTGGACTCTCACTTCAAGTGTTCTTTCAAGCTACTTAGGACTAAGGTAGGTACCTAGAGACAACAGCCTCTTAAATTACTTTGTCCACAGGAATTCTGTTAGGTGTTGTCCAGTGGGTGGCCACTTGCAATTTTGCTAGAAATTCTGTGTCCTAGATGCCTTTTCTCTTGGACTGCAATGTGGCACATGAAGCCACAATTGTAGCAGCTGTTGTGATTTTAGCTGTGCCAGCCTGGGGTCAAAGCTGAACAGGACAGAAAATCACCACGAAGCCAGGATCCAGATCAAAATTTTCCAAAGCTTACTTTGCTTTAGATCCTATGACCAACAAATATCTTCACTGTTTAAACTAGTTTAAGTCAGATTTCCTATTATGGGATCTTCAAATATCTGATAATTCTAAGAGGTTGAAAGATTTTGAACCTTTAAAAGGGGTAGTTTAGACCAGATAAAGAATTAGTGAGGGCTGGTGGTAGAGCACATGTAGGAAGCTCCAGGTTCAATCCCCAACTCAAAAAAAAAAAAAAAAACCAAAAAACAAAACAAAACAAAAAAACCAAAACCAAAACCAAAACCAAAACAAAAAAAACCAGGTATAGTGACACACACCTGTAATCTCATCTCTTAAGGAGGTAGATTGGAGGATCAGAAGTTCAAGGTCATCCTGTGCTATAATGTGAGCTCAAGGTCAGCCTAGGCTACATGTTTCAAAAAAAAAAACCAAACCAAACCAAACATTAGTGGATTGGGATAACCCACTGTAAACATCTGACAGTATAATTTCAATTAAGATTACTGTTTTAGGCTGGCATTCTTACTTTGGGGATGCTTGCCCGAGAACTTTGGAAGAATCCTTACCTTGCCTTAAGAACATGCTAATTTCATGTGTGTATTTGCATGTCGGTTATAAGGGTGAGAAGTTCCCCAAAGACCCTGTGATTAAGGTACTCTATGGCTGCCTTTTGATATTCCTATCAGATAAGCAGTGGTTGTCCTGTCTTTGAGAAGGGCAGGGAAGTTCCATGTAGAGAATATGAGAATTTTAAAATTGCTTTTGTAATACCTAACCATTTCATTTATTAAACAAATAGAGTGCATTGTGCTAGGGTTGGATGTGCTGGCTCTCATTGTATCGTACTGAGACATGAGACACAGTCCCACCCTTGCAATTTGGCAGGTTAAGTGGCCAGAGTGAAAGCCTCCTGTGACTTTAGAGGGAGAGTTAATAGAAGTCAACAAACATCCAAATTCTTATTTGCATTAATGTAAGTTCTGCTTGCCTTTGGAATGTCATTATCTGGTGTTCTAAGCACCCATTAGGGGCAGCTACTGAAGGAGAGGCTCTACGCCTGTTTTCTTATTTAATCCTCATGGTTATCCTTCGGGAGTAGACATTCATTATTTATTTTTTATAGATGTGGAATTGGAGGATCAAAGAAATCAAGATCAGATAAATCAAGTAATTTGCCCAAGGCTGCACTGCTCGCTATTAGTGGAGACAGTTTCTAATTTAGGTACTTTGGCTACTGAAGCTCACTTTTCCCCTTTGCTCTTGTCCGGTCACCTTTATATGCATTCTTCCAGACTCCCTTCTCTATGCCAGTAATGATTCTCTAGACATGCATTTTGGGCTTTCCCCCAAGTATATGTAATGTATATTTAATTCTTTCCTGGCTTCAAAAGTGAGTGACACTCTTTCAGAGGGGTGCAGAGCATCACAGTTGTTTGGGGTGCTGCTGGTCACAAAGATAACTATCTTGCTTTAATTCCTACCCCACCCCCCAATTCTTTTTTTTTTTTAACCACCTACAAGAAAAATATCCTCCAACCCATCCAAGGGAAAAAAGACTCTTTAAAAATAATCTCAGCTCCTTTCTTTGCTTTGATGATGGCTTCAGATTTTTCTAACAGAACCAAGTGGCTTCAAATAATGTGACGATTTCTTCCTCGGGGGGATCATGGATGCTTTACAACCACTTCCCCAGATGGAATATTTTCCAGATTTTGGACCTCTGAGCGCTACTCTATCTCATATCTAACTGATGCAGCCAGAGAAAAGTTATTCTGTAATCTCAGCCTTTTTGAAGTTGGCAGAGTGAAAATAAAAACAACCTTCTCCTATAGTGGTGTGGAGTGTGTCACTGCGTCCTATGAAGTATTCTAAAGCTTCTAGAACTTTCTCATTTCTTTAAGTCCTGTTTACCGTCTTCTAGCTTAAACAGATTAAGTCCACACAAATGAAACTTAAAATTGGTGGTGGACTTGTGCATACAATATTCATCCTCTGTATTAAATCTCATGGATGTCTTTACTGTCTTTGTACTGTTTATAGATATGAAAAAAAAAAAAACTTCTTTAGAGTCTTTCCCCCAAGTTCACAGTTACTTAAGGCAACTACCAGTATTTTTTTTTTTTTTGCTTATTAAACAAATTTATTGTTACTGTGTGTATGTGTCTGTGAGTGCCATGGCATGGCTGTGGGGGTCAGAGGGCATTTTTATGGAGTTGGTTCTCCCCTTCTGCTTTCACATGGGTCTGGTATTGAACTCAGGTCATCAGGCTTCTGAGGTAAGTCCCTTTACCTACTGAGTCATCTTTCTGGCCCTGTCACCGTTTTTGAGGCTGGACTGGAAATTCAGGCTTTAATTTTTGACTGGGAAGATTGGCCCCTTCCCCAGACTGTTATGATGTTGGCTGAGAGCGATAGGCAAGGCTGCTGTCTTTCAGTCCAAGAAACAGTGGGAGAGAGAGCAGATGAGCTGGCCTCCATTGCTCTCTTGCAGTCTCTCCCCGCTGCTGTCCTACCCTTACCACGAGAGAAAATGCCATTTTCTTATAGTAGTCATAAGGTAAGACTGGGGTGACATTAGACAATGGGGTGCACTTATGGCAGCTTTGGGATGTGGCTTCTAAATTCTTTCAGTTCGTTAAATTTGGCTCAGGGTTCTTCCCTTGGTGGGTGTGGAGAGCCCACTCGGTTGAACTTGCATCTCACTCACCAACATCAGCCATCTCGGGGACCGTGGCTGTATAAACGTCCTTGGTGAATATTGGCTCATTGTCATTGATGTCATGGATCTTGATGATGAATTCAGACTCAGGCTCTACAGGTCTCCCGGTCCTTCTGTTGATAGCTTGAGCTCGAAGGATGTAAACAGGTTTTTCTTCCCTGTCAAGCCTCTTGGTGGCCTGTATGTCGCCTGTGTTTTCATTGATAATGAAGAGATCTCCTGCTCCATCTCCTGAAAGGATATATTTAAGTGATCCATCTCCTCTATCCTGGTCTGAATGTAACTAGTGTAGGGAAAAAAAAATTAAAGAAAAGTAAAAGTCAAGCACGTGATCCTAAACTGTTTTGTTTTTTACCATGCAGTCTATCATAACTGTTTGTTATTTGCTATCAATAGCTTCCAAGGGCAGGCACAGCTGTTTTGTTTTGTTTTTTAAAAACTGCTTACATAACCCTTCAATAGAAGAATACCACTCATTAATGAATGTATTTCTTAATCACAGAACTTTCTAGAAGTAGAAAATTTGGCAATCTTTCTTAGTTTGAAGAAGGGAAAAATTAAAGACGGAAGCAATTTTAAAAGCCCAAGAACATGTAAGTTAGACTGGACAAATCTTTTCACTCTGGATGTCAGAACCTGTGAGCAGACTCTCCTGGTCACTGTGTACACACAAACATTCTCCAAGTGCCCCACTGCTTAAAAGGACTTCGGTGTTTGCATCAGAGACATGGGTATAGTCTGCCTTTTGGTGAATTAAGGAAGCTAGGCAATCACATTGGTCAATGGAGATTATAATCCATTTTTTCCAGAGAGAAGTGATATGTGTCTGTTTGTCTGTCTCTTTCAGTTTAAAGCATCCCGAGACCTCCTCAGTGTTGCTTTCAGGAATGTCTTGAGACCACGTCACCAGCCAGTCCATCGGTTCCTTGGGACAATGGCATCTGGTATGGGGATTTTAGTAGGAAACAGGAGAAGACCTTCTGATGGGCAGAGACAGCCTAATCTGGAACCTGTCTGCCTTACGAGGTAGTGAGACCTGATCCCCCGCCCCAGCTCTCGAAAGTAATCAAGCAGTGCTGAAGATTCACTATCAATGAAACGGTCCAGAGGGAAGTGTAGACTGAAGTGAATGCCTGGGCCAAAAGAGTGGACGGTGATGATTCTGAGTTGGAGATGTAGTTCCTGTTTCCTAACCCAAAGATTCCCTTTCGGAGTTGAGTTCCTAAATTCTTTTCCCCCTGCCTAGCAAAAGTCTAGGTCTCCTAGCAATCTAACTATAGTCACAGATTTTCACAATGTGTTTTGTCATTGTTGAGGACGACCATTTAACAGCTGGAGTCACAGGCCTCGTGATCACAGCCATGTTCGTTACAGAATCTCCTTACAGACTCCACATGGAGGAGTTGCCTGACAGTGGTAACTGCAGTAGGTAAACATCCATGGGCTCTGAAAAACACTGCACGAGCTTCCAGAACAGTGGTTCTCAACCTTCCTAATGCCGTGACCCCTTAATACAGTTCCTCATATTGTGGTGATCCCAACCATGAAATTATTTTCTTTTTTTTTTTTTTTCCGGAGCTGAGGACCGAACCCAGGGCCTTGCGCTTGCTAGGTAAGCGCTCTACCGTTGAGCTAAATCCCCAACCCCATCATAAAATTATTTTCATTGCTACTTCCTAACTGTAATTTTGCTACTGACACAAATGGTAATTTAAATCTGCGTTTTCCAATGGTCTTAGGTGACCTCCATGAAAGGGTCGTTGGACCCTCAAGGGGTGGTGACTCACACGTTGAGAACCTCTGTTCTAGGATACCTGCAGATGGACTTTCAAAGCCAAAGGGAACTGAGATGATGATCTAAGCAGTTTCCTAAACACATGTTCTGTGGACTATCTACGCAAAGCACAGAGGGAAAGAGTACTGTGTACTTGGGAAATACTTAATCTGCCTCTGTCTTGGAGTCACCTGGACATAACACAGGACAGGCTATGAGAGTCTGAATTTCGGACTTTACATGGCATGATTTTGTTTAACATGGCTATCTGAAGCTTTAGTGTTCAATGCAAGGTTTTTTTTTTGGGTACGACCTCTGACAGCCTTCCCAGAAAGTTTCTTTTGTAATCCCGAGTTATCTGTCACTGGAGAAACAGGAAATGCAAAGTTCCAATTTATGTAGTGTTTCAGAATCACACCCAGCTCAAGTGAGAGTCAAAGATGAGAAACCGGTGGCAGGAAGGTGCCCTGGAGAATGTTCGGTGCAATGTCCTCATTTCTGGCGTGCGAGAGACTGTGTCCACTGCCACACAGCTACGCCGAGTTAATCACCGAATTTGAGAATGAGAATATTACTCATACAATTAGTAGCTTTGAAAGCAATTTGGCAGAAATAATGGAAGATAAAATGCGAACAGGGAGGAAATTGCTTCAAAGTGAGACAAATGCAATATGAAATGTAAAACAAGAGCACTCTATGATTTGTGCAGTGCGATATGCCAAGGAAACGCTGAAACCACCATGACAGAGAAAGAGCCACTAGGGAAAAGTTAACTCTCCATTGACAGATTCTAATGACTGCAGAGCGCTCTTAAAAAGCCATTTTATTAACTCATGAGTAAAGCAAGCACCACTGCTGCCCTTTGGATGCGTGCTCCTGGGTAGGCGTGATCGGCGCGGTGGTCAGTGGCCGTGGTGGGCCAGCCATGGTCGGCAATTGTGGTTAGCAGCAGGATGCAGCATGTGGGATGTGCAGCTAAGTCCTAAGCACAGGTCACGTTCACTGTGTCCCTCACCAGGTGTAAGACCACAGCAGAGTCAATTGCACCTCCCAAGCCAAGACCCTTCTCAGTAAAATAAGGATAATAAGAGCTGCGGGACAAGCGGCTGTCAAGAACTAATTAGAGGCCATATACAAATACCTCATTAATTGCCACCTAAACATGCAATAAAAGCATGGTGTGTGTTTTATGAATTATAAAGAGCCACCAAAGTGGAAGCATGAGCATTGGCTGGGAAGTTATCATCAGCATGTTTTGCTCTTCTTCTGACTTTGAAAACTTTGAAGACCATGGAAACCCAATTTTGTAAACACTTCTTATCTCTGAGGTAAAATCTGTTATGAAAAGCCAGTATTCTTCTACCTGGTGGCAACTGCTGTCTTTACATGTGATTTATTATATTCTTTATTCCACTAGATTATAGACTCTCCTCGGCTGCTTCTTTCATCATCTTCAATGTGTAATTGTTGCACACTTAGTCGGCGAATACCACATCCGGTCACAAGATTTATTCAGGTGAAAGTAATCAGAAACTTATTTTTGGCTGTCAGAAGCGACCGTTTCCATGAATTATACTACAAACACCTGAGACGATAGAGAGGCAGAGGGGGAGATGCCGGAAAGTGTGAACGGGGACTATGTTGCAGATCACAGTTCTGATTTATCAATATTTGAAAACCAGTGGGAAAATGTATCTCTTCACTCAGGCAAGACCTGATAAAAGAACAATTTAACCTCTTCCCTCCTCTCAGCCCCCAACATGAGTTTTCTGAGTCTGACAGTGCATGTGCAGGCAGCAAAAACCCCCATCAGCCCCTCGTCTCTCCTCACCCTCCTCCCTTCTGCCGAACGCCCCTGGGGCCAGTGCTGTTCTCTACTCTTGGGAAAGAAAGAACACCGAAAACTCCAGTGCCTGTGAAAGCAGTGGCAAGAAGCAGACATTAGGGGTTTATTGAGCACTTAGATTTTAATTGGATTTTTTTCTTTTGTGATGTCATTCATCATGGCCACTGGAAGAGACAGAACTTAAACAACAACAAATAAAAGGTTGTAGGTTGCCCAAGGCATATTTTTACTAATTTCAGTTTAATGTGCCTGTTCCATTAAGTTTAATCATCTGGTTCACTTTTAATGTTTCACCATTAAGTAAGAATTTAGCCACTTCCCTCCAGAAGCCTTATCTCACCTGTGGCGGGCAGGGTTTCTCACTACTGTATCTATAACACTTTCAGCCAGAAGGTGCCCTGACTCCGTTTCTGTACTCACTTTTTTATTCTTTAAAAAAACAAAAAACAAAACAAAAAACAAATGTACTGTCTTGGAAAATAAATACAGGGATCTCTTTTGTTGCATGGTCCCATGGAGGGTGTCACCAGGCAGTGGCAGCATCATTGCCTGAGGGGCTGTCCCTGGGAACATAACACCCTTTTATCAGCTACATGTACCAACTTGCAGCTTAATTTTGAATGAAATTCAAGGGCATACCATTAATTGTCTATATTTTTAGTAGTCTGTGAAGCCAGCTAATGCTGGTGTATCACTCCCTTTCCTGTGCGTCACTTCTTGAATCTCTGAGTCAGTGTCCAAATAGAATCTTCTGAGCACACTCACTGTCAAGGTGGAAAACAGGGTCAAAGCCTGCAATTCCCTAGATGGCACACATAAGTGCCTATGACAGTCAGAAGGGAGCTTTTGGAAGGGAATATGTGATGGTTGACTGAAACAAGACATTGGGTTATGGTTAATATCTTTACCGAAAGTGGGAAGAATGTACTGTGGTCTTTTAAGAAAGACCTATCATATATTTTGCTACATGAGTGTTAATGACTTTGCATGAGTTAGCTCATTTACATCTGATAATTATTTCACAGATGACATGTATAATTGTGGCAGGGTGCTAATTGTTCTTCAAACTCCTGCTAACTTTGCATTTCTGGAACAAACTCCCTGAGATAAGCTTATCAAGAGGGAGGGTTGATTTTGGCCCACGGTTTCATATGGTTCAGTCCATGATTGCTTCGCTCTATTGCTTTGAAACTGTGGCAAGCAGGCAGAGGAAGCTGCTTGCTTCCTGGTTGTCAGGAAGCAAAAAGGATGAAGGGAAAGAGTTCTTCCAATGGAGGCTAGCTGCCAACAATCCGAGTTATTTATACTACACCTTGTTTCATCAAGACTCTACCCCTAGGCAGGCCACCCAGCTTTTAACTAAATGTCCCACCTTTTGTGTGTGGTGGGATGCCATCTACAAACATTTTGGGTCCATTTCTGGCTATCCTGGGATGCCCACGGACTCCGCTGCTGGCCAGACAGAATGGCTTTAACACCTGGGCTCTTGGGAGACAGTTGCAATCCCAACCATAGCGCCTCCCTCTGGTTCTTCCATAGTTAGTAGTTCTGGCTGGCACATGGCTGGTTAGCCTTTGATCACCTTCCCATGGTGTAATACATGAGCATGTATTTGTCAGTACCTACTGCTTAACAGGAACTGGCTTATTATAGAATGTTCCTC